TTATTTTTTTCTTTAGTAATTCAATCAGTAAATACAGGAAGGAAGGAATATTTCTGAATAGATCATATAACGTTCAGTTAATTTGTTTACATTTATTCTTCAGTGAAACTTGTTCTTTTATAACATTTTAAAAACATGATTTGAAAGAAGGGTAATAATTGCTACTGCTTACAGGGACTTCTAGATTTGTTTACTTTTTTAATTTGGAGCAGAATAAAGGTTATTCAGGGCTCTTTCAGCATTGTGAAGTGTTCCTTAGCTTGCATTGCCTTTTCTCTGCTGCTGTTTTTCATCAGCTTGTAGCTAAAGACCTGGCCTTTTTGCAGCTGTATCGCTGATAAAAGATAAAATGTAAATCAAGAGTACCCAACAGACACTGTGAAATGAGCAACCCGAATATAAAGGCCTTAAACTTTGAGTCTTTTTAGTGAACTGATCAGTAAAACCCAAGAACCTGTTAGACTGCATAGACAATGAGGAGAAGTATTCAGTATTTTCAGTTCCAAGTGAATTCAGTAGCAGCCATGGGAGACTGAAACAAGCTTATGAATACCTTAGAAGATGAGATCCTCATATTGCCAGTGATTATATTCTGCACATGGGTTTCAAATCCATAACAGAATCAGAAAGACATTTGTTTGAGGTATTTATAGAGCATCTGTTTGACTAACCATCTGTGCTCTGATTGAAGTATACACTTGGTCCAGACTGAATAAAAACCATTTATGTGAATTAGAATAGTAACTCTGACACTGTTACATCTAAAGATTTCGCTCCTGGTGACTTTGCTGACCTGTTTGCATGTAAAGGTAAATTTTAAAACTGTACGATCTGAAAGGTAGCATGAGGAAAGAGTGTAACTAGCCTGTCCACTTCAAAAAGGCTTTGAAGTTCAGAGATGCTGTTTGAACACTGCATGCCTTTCCAAACTGCTTCTAGCTTAGGGTCTGGATTAAGCTTGGCTGCCTTCTTCAGTGTCTGAGTAGCTTTTGGGTTTATTTGTGAGGGTAAAGGTATGAAGATGCTGAGGTATTTTGCTGTGCTTTCACTTCTATTTCCAAACGAGGTTTCTTCACTTCTATTTCAAAATGACATTCATCCCCTTTTCGTTGTTCACGGTGTTTGGTACAGATATTAGCAAAACATTAGAAATGCAGCTCACTATAGCTTGGAGTTAATTGCATTGAGAAACCTCACTGTGTTCGTTCAGTTCACTTCCTTCAACATTATCTTTTTCATGGATCGGTATGTTTTGTATATTCAGAATGCTGAGTTTAGGAATCATAATGTAAAGATGAAAAGCAGTAGGCTGTAATATGATCGGTTCAAAAAATATATATAATGGTCACTAATTTATTGAGATTGCTCTTTAGGAATGATGATTGAACAGCAAGTTTTTGGAAGCTGGTTATGCTTGTTCAAGATAGTAGAAAATTGAAGTTTCTGATATTGTTTCACAAGATTAGTTTTCTTTAGTGATAACCTGGGGAATTCTTTAAATTACCTCATCTTAGTTCATGTAGCACCATCTGCCACATCTGCAAAGAAGATAATTATTTTTAGGAGCAGCTGTGGGTTTTTTGATTAAGTCTTGAGTCATCGAGGTCAGTATTTTTGAATTATTCAACATAGGAAAGGAGAAGAAATTGGTTTGCATTTTGTCAGTAATAGAGGATGTATTGTTATTATAGTTAGTGACATAAACCTTGTAGATATTTACTACAGTCCTCTAATTTCCAAGAAATTTGTGCGTATATTTTTTTGAGTGCAGTTGGCTTTGTAGGGAAGAAATTACCAGTCAGAATTCATTAATCAGTAAGACAGTACCTGGTAGCAAATTAGTGACTGTGTAGACTGTTCTGTTAATAGAAATGTTAAAGTGAAAATGGCACATTCTCAACACTGAGTCATAGGTCCAGGTTCCCAACTCCAGTTTCAAAAGCTGAATTGTGGATTAGGACGTGTCACCAAAAGAAAACTCCCCAAATGAGCAGCCCCTCAACAGAGATTCTTTGTTACCTCTGTGGTCACAAAGGTACCTCACGACAGAGCCAAGTCAGATGAGCACCTCCAAGTCAGATGAGCCTTCTCCATCACACACTAAACAAGGGAGCCAAGCTAACTTGAGAACTGGGACCTGAAACCTTCAACAGCTTTCTTTATCTTGTAGTGTAAAGGCTCCAATCTGTGCCAGATGCCTTGAGAGACCAGGCTTTGTGTAAACTCTTAATGGGAAGTAAAGAGTACCTGAATGCAGAGCTATCATTCCATGATGAGCTGGCTGCATCTCCGCAAGAGCTTCTCTCAGCTTCCTGCTGTTGAGGAACTAATGAGAGCAGGCACCTCCTCAAAGACAGAGTAGTTTCTCCCTGGGGAGTTAATGGAAAGTAGGTTTATCTTAGTGCCTTTGCTGAAGAGTGAAGGTGGCAGAGCTGTATGGCCTGAGGAGGGTCTCTTGAGAAATCACTCACCTCTTGAAAATGAAAGCTTAGAAGGGGCACCCACAGGATAAAAAAAGAGAGGAAACTTTTACTGAGGTCTGAGATAACTGAAAAAAAGATGTTTAAAAGCCAAACCTGTATTCCACGTTGGAAGATAGGCATGTGAATCTGAAGGTATCTAGACAGGACCTCGTACACTGCACTGAGTTATGGAAGACTCCCAGCATAAATAAGCACAGCTAGGTGCTCATTTTTCCATCAGTGAGCATGCACTGCCACGTGTCTACTTTGAGTGATACCTAGAGATGACCATGAACCTAATACACACACACAAAAAGAAGCCCTGAAAGTGTTACAAACACTTGTAAATGCATTGCCCCTCGTCCTGTGAAACACAGGTGCTGATTTTTCCTGTGCTCTGAGTAATCAGCTGGACATGGCTGAGGACTGGGATACCTGACAAGAGAATTCAGGTTTACCAGATTTCAGGAACACCACAGGCAGTTACGTTTCCTATCTGAACTTCAGTCAGAGATGGAATCTTGTCTCTTTGGAAACATTTAATGGCAGTCTACATTTATTTCACTCATCACATACTTTTAACAAGATTTTCTATATTTACAAATGAAAAGTGGGCTTATTTTGAGAAGAACACAGATTTAAAAGGATTAAGAAGATTTTACAGACATTTCACTCTCCACATGACCAGGAGGAGAGATTTACTTCTGTAGGGGGCATGTCATGTGCTACCCATTACTGGAGTATTGTCCAGAGATAGCACAGATTTCTTAGTTCTCCAGAATGTGACTCTTCAACTATATTTTCCAGCTATGCTTTAATGTACTATTCTACTTGTAGTGTTTAATTAAGTTCCAAGCAAGACCTTCAGTCAGCGGTCAATCTGTCCCCTTTGTTGCCTTTAGATTCAGCAGCACTTCATGCACTGGCAGTTCAGGTGTACTGAGAGCTCAGGGTGTAACCGAGAGCAAAGAGTCATTATCGGCATCTCAGCTCTCTGGAGGGAAAAGAAGTGGCAAAGCCACTCAGTCTTCCTCTCAGTGAAAAGCAGGACAAAACAACGAGCCCTGTACTTCCACCCACAGGTCAGACCTGATCTGAGATTTCCTCTTAGATTGCAGGAGTGATACATCTTACAGAAAGAGGCAGGGCACAGCCTCTCCTAGGAGTTTTACCTACTACAGAGGCTGCACCTAAATGTGGACTTATCAAGGAGGATACTTAACGTGTAATATTTGACCCTCTGAATATGAGGTGCTTATTTTTAATGAAGATATAAAGCCAGAACTGACTTAATATGTTTCATGCCCCTCATTCTGTTAAAGAACTCTGTATAAGGCCAATAAAATGCTATTTTGCTTTGCGAAATGCCACAGAAATCACTGCCCAGAAATGTTACTGGTGATCTTTATCTACTATGCAATGAAGCAGAATTTTGTAAACAGGCAAAAGTACTATTTCTAGATACAAAGGATGCTGGTATCTTCCAGAGTATTAAGTATTATCACACTTTTCAAGTGGAGTCAGTTAACCCTCTGGTCTCACTTGTGCATTGGTATTCAATCCTCACATGTGATTCATGAAATTTCCCCCAGCTGGCAATTAACAAGCACTGAGTTAGTTTTATCGTTTTCATTCACTCTTTTAATACCAGCACATCTAGATACTTTTCTTAAATAATTATAGAAGAGCATCACACACATCAGCAAAATTCTTTTTGACAAAGTTACTTGCCAGTGGGAATGGATATATTCATATCTAGTCCTAAGCAGTATCAAGTGGTAAAGGAGGGAGAAGCTTCACTAGTCTTGCAACATTACGGTTATTCTATGAAGGAAGATCTTACAAGACTGGCCTGGACTATTCCAAAAGAAAAGCATGAGAGGTGGTACCTGCAGTGTGTGCAAATAACTTGGATGGGGGAATTTGCCTTTATGGTTTTGTACTTCACATCTGCACAGTCCCAAAGTAAATGTATTTGTTGTCTGCAAGTGACTCACAAAACAGAGTATGAGCACGACTTAACTTTGCTCTAAACCCGCAATGTATCAAGCAATTCCATCTGGGTTACAGAATTCTAGCTCTCCTGTTGTGGTTTTTTTGCATTTTAGTCACCACCCCTTTACTTCTATCCTAGCAGGTAAAAATGCAGCAAATATCTCTGTTGTTTACTAAGATGAATTTATGCAACAAGTATTTCATTTGCTGCTCCAACCTGTCTGCTTCTGAAAACGAGCTAATATCACTTTTTACAGTGTCATTCAAGACAGATAGGTATGACTATAAGCAGTTTATGCTATCCTCTAGTCTTCGAAAGACAGCAGTCTGCTATTTTATATCCAAAGTATGTAGCTCAGGAGAATCTCCCAAAAAGGGAAAATTAGCAATAAATAGTAGTAGTAAATCAGCAAGGAGACTATAGACAGCTTCCTCTTTTCTAAGTTATATCTCTTTACTGAACTGTGTTTTGGTATTATTGGAGTTATTTACGTAGCTGAGTCACTAGAAAGGTTTTTGGGGGCTTGTTTCTTTTTTTGTTCTTCAGCAACTTGGAATCTCCACTGATGCCCGAAGTCCCACAGCGCCAAGGCAGCAGCACAGACAGTTCTGCAAGCAGTTTGGGAAGCTCTGTCACAGCATGTAAGAAGGTAACTTCTAAGTTTATGTTATATCCAAAGTCAAATATATACACGGCTCTGCTTTTTAGCTTTTGCCTTTACTGGGGAATGCAAAATTTAAGTGATACTTTGAAAAGAAAAAGGTCTTGATACAGAAAAATAAATATCGGTGCTGTTATGGTATCTTGCAGTTTCTGTCCGCTTCGTCTACGAAACAGGTTTTATTTTCCTTATCCTGAAAACCACACACAGAAATTTTGGTAGATATAATA